CTAGCCTCTCCTCAGCGGCGTGAGGGGAGCCCCTGAGCGTTGGGCGCCCTGCTCGCTCTCTCTCTCCTCTCGCCCAGCTCCTCGAGGAGGCGGCCGCGGGAGCGGAAGGAGCCCCTCTTTCCTCTCAGCGGAGGCGCCTCACGCCGCCCTACCGAGAGGCCTGCCGGGCAAAGGGCTGCCCCGGCCTTAGCGGCCCGACGGACAGCGAGCGAGCGGGCGGGCGGGAGAAGAAGGTGTGTGGGGGGGAGAACGAAACCTGAGGTCGGCGGCTCAACTCACCTCGGACGGCGGCGGAGGCAACAGCAGGCGCCGCCGGGCCTGCATGACGGAGAGACTCCCCCCTCAGTGCCGAGCGCTCGGCTCCTGGGCGGGCCTTGTACGCAGCGGACGCCGGAAAGGCCACCACGGCGCTTGCCTGGTCTTCCCGCTCGTCCTTTTCGTTCCCAACCGAAGGGCTGCTGCTGCCTGGCTAACTCGCTCGCCCGCTGACTTTCCACCGAGGCCGCCTCAGCTCTCGGGCAACCAGCGCCCCCTGGCCGGCCCCAGAGGCACTGCACGGCACTGCGGCACAAGCGGGAAGCCGGGCCGGCCCTCCTCCTCCTCCGGCCGCCCGCCCGGGTGAGGGGCAGCGCCGCGGGTGGGGTGGCGAAGGCGCTCCTCGTGGTCTCATCGGGACCCGATGGAGGCAGGCGGGGGCTGCCTTCGAGGTGACGGTGAAGGGCGAGGGCTGGGTATCGTTCGGGAAGCTCTGTAGAAGCCCTCGGAAGCCGAGGGTAAGGCACAAGACAACGACAGCGAGCGTTTAGGTCTAGGAGGTGGACGGCGATTTGGCCATTTTAAAGCGAAAGCATTCAAGTGCTGAGGGACGGGGCCACCCAAACACGGTGCTGCCAGAGGAAGACATCAGAACCTCTCAACCCTCCGCCGCCGAAGCCAACAAGATTGGGAGACGTGACTTCGAGCAGGGCGAGCGATGGAACAACGTCCATCACGCGATCTGCCTTTAGGGCCGCCGTAAACTCCTTCTGACTCAGCTGCAAGCAAAATCCTTGCTGCTGTCACAGGTCGCCTCAGACGGGTGCCTCACGTTACCCAGTGGGCCCCTCCAGGTGGATCAAACAACCAGCTTACCGTAGAGATACTATAATATTCTTCGCCTGTCATTCCTCTCTGACGTCATTGTTTACAGTTCCTTCCCCTACCATCAGGAATTCTAGAATCATGTGTTGAAATGCCTATTATTTCTAATAATAGCTTACTTATCTGATGAAAGGGTTGCCTATCTGTGAAAATTTATTATGCCATAATAAATGTGTTAGTTGTTCAGGTTATTTCCCCCTTATTCAAACTAATATGGCTACCCCTGTGTGCAGAGTCAACTATTTCATTACCACAACAGAGATATAGCTGAAAATTTCTGTGCACACACACGCACAAACACACCTAATGTCACACATGAGGCTGGAAGACACATTACTCCACACTTACAATAAATAATACAGATTGGACTCTGGTTATGCCATCCGTTTGGCTCGCCGCCAAGGGATCCCTCACTGTTTTAGATGAGTCCAGTCCTAAACATACTTGTTTTGGCTCCAAGATAAGAAATAAATCACTCCCTGTCCATAGTCTCACAATCTAAACAATAAGATCCAAACGAGGAAAAGAGTGAGAAAGAAAACAAGCAGAATCAACACCCGTTTTTTAGAATTGCCAAGAAGTGCAGTACAATATATACAGAAGGTACCAAGTTCAATCTCTGTTGTCTCATGTTTAACATATGTATCATGTAGCAGTTAATGGAAAAACATTTGTATGAGACACAGGAGCACTTTTGCCAGGCAGAGTATATAATGTTGGACTATGGGAAGGAATTTGACCTTTTCTGTCAAATTCTTGTTTTTAGAGTATCTATGCACTTTATTGCCCTTTTTTAGATCCTTAAGAAAGGCACTCCTGCATAGGTATCCAAACCAGATTGTATGTTGTCCTGCAAAACCTTAAGTTATGTAATTACTACAGAAAAGAGAGGTTACTTACCTGTAACTCTGGTTCTTCGAGTGGTCATCTGTGAATTCATGCTAATGGGTTAAGTCATGGCAATAGCTCTATGAAGGCACTTCTGGCTTTGATCCGCCAACATCTCAGAAGATTCCAAAATGCAGATCGAAGACTTACTTTTTGATCGTTCCAGCTTGTTTGATACTAAGACCGACAACATCCTGGAGAACTTGCAAAAGATGAGAAAAATGGCACACTCTTACAATATTCAGGTAAAGGTAAAGGTTCCCCTTGACAATTTTTGTCCAGTCGTGTTCGACTCTAGGAGGCGGTGCTCATCCCCGTTTCCAAGCCATGGAGCCAGCGTTTTGTCCGAAGACAATCTTCCGTGGTCACATGGCCAGTGTGATTTAGACACGGACCGCTGTTTACCTTCCCACCGAGGTGGTCCCTATTTATCTACTCGCATTTGCATGCTTTCGAACCGCTAGGTTGGTGGGAGCTGGGACAAGCGACGGGCGCTCACTCCGTCGTGTGGATTCGATCTTACAACTGCTTGGTCTTCTGACCCTGCAGCACAGGCTTCTGCGGTTTAGCCCACAGCGCCACCACGTCCCCTACTATAAATCTCAACGATACCAGTGGCGACGACAGTACCCTTTTCAGCAATACAAACCATTCCCAGAAAAACAGTGATACTTAGTACAACAAAATTCTTATCAGCCTAGACTACATGGACAATGTCAGTGTCCCCCACCAATCCTACAGGTGCCCTGAGAAGAAAAGCAAACAGACCCTTTGACTTTCCAGCCCCCTTTGCTCTCCCCCCCACCCACTACTCCTGTCACCCAGCTTGCATCTTTTTTCCCCACATGGGCACGTATCATGACAGATTCATGGGTGCTGTCCATCATCACAAATGGCTATGCAATAGAATTCCTATCTCTCCCACTCTCTTGAATTATCCTCACCCCTTCTTCCACCACTCTCAAATCAGAAATTCAATCTCTACTCTCAAAATCAGTCATATCACACATCACTCCAAATTTGTCTGACCCCGGTTTCTTCTCCAGGTACTTCCTAGTTCCGAAAAGAGACAATTCTCTACATCCCATTCTAGATCTTTGGCACCTCAACTATTACATTGCTCAGCACCATTTTCGTATGATAACTTTGGAATGCATCCTTCCATTGCTCCAACACGGAGACTGGTTTTCAGTCATTGATCTGAGCGATGCATACTTTCATATTTCCATCAGATGCGACCACTGCAGATTTGCCCATTTGTCTCTCGGATGTGCCACTTTCGAGTTCAACGCCTTAACATTCAGCCCATCAACAGCACCCAGGGTATACACAAAGTGCATGGCTCCGGTGGCAGCATATCTTCGTACCCAAGGGATCTTGGTGTTCCCATACATAGATAATTGGCTGCTAGTAGCTCATTCCCGAGACCAAGCACTAAGAGATATCAATGTCACTCTGTCTCTTCTAAGAAATCTTGGCCTCCGGGTCAACTTCAAGACCCCCATGCAAAGGGTAGACTACATAGGCGCAGTGCTCGATTCTCGTCACGCCAGAGCCTTCCTCCCTTGGCAGTGTGCAATCAAAATATGGGCTCTTGTCAAGCATTTTCATCCACAGGAGTTTGTGACGGCCCATCAAGTGCAACATCTCTTGGCCTCCACCACCTCTGTTATCCAGCATGCGAGGTTGAAGATGCGCTCATTGCGAGCATGGTACCTGTCTCTGTTCGACCCCCTTCTCAATGCACCCACAGGTTACCCGCGAGTTTGCCGACCAGCTCCAATGGTGGATCACACTGTCCAATCTATTCTTAGGTTCTCCCCTTCACACTGCTTTTGTTGACAACTCAGGTGACAACCGACGCCAGCCCTGTCGGTTGGGGAGTGCACTGCGGAGACCTTCATGTGCATGCAACATGGTCGCCACGAGAAAGGCTTCTCCACATCAATGACCTGGAGTTATTAGTAATTTTCAAGCTGTTCCATGCTTTCCTACCAATTATTGCAGGTACTGCAGTCTAGGTCACCACAGGCAGCACTACGGCACTATATTATGTAAACAAACAGGGGGACACACATTCACTTCCCCTCCTGTACCTCACTGTGCAATTTTGGGAGTGGTGCCTAGACCACTGCATCTTTCTATCAGCACTGCACATTGCCACTCAGGACAATGCCTGGGCAGGGTCATCTGAGCAGGATAACTTTCCAGATACATGAGTGGTCTCTCGATCACGACATGTTCCTCCAGATCTGCAAACAATGGGGTCATCCAGTTATAGGCGCATTCGCAACGGAGACGAACAGAAAGTGCACCAGCTACTTTTCAATTGCAGGGATTGGCTGGGGATCCCTGGGAGACGCCCTCACGGTATGTTGAAGTACCCACCTCATTTATCTCTTTCCTCCGATACCACTCATTTTGCAAACCGTTGTCAAGGCAGGATCAGACCAATGCCCCATACTGGCCATACTGTCTACCTCACCTCCTTACACGGCACCAAGGCCGGACTTTCCATCCCGACCTTCAGTCCCTATAACTGACGGCCTGGAGAATCTTACCTCCATAAATACTATTCTTGCTCACTCTAGGAAACCTTCTACTCCCACAAGTGGCTGGCTTTCCCAAAATTTGCAAGATCACACGATCTTCCAACCATGCCTACTACTCTAACAGCGATATTACTTTTTCTCTTTCACTTATTTGATCATCATCTATCATTGTCTACACTGAAGGTGTATATGTCAGCTATTGTGGCACACCAACCCCAAGATTTTGAGGCTGTTTTGCTATTTCAACATCCTACGGTGAAAAGATTCCTATGAGGAGTAGCCCACCTTAATCCTCCAAGACTGTCCCCTACACCTCAATGGTCTTTACATACTGTCCTAAGGCATCTGTCTCTTCGCTACTGCTACAGAGTGACTGCGATTATTTAAGGTACTTTTCTTAGTGGCTGTAACTTCCGCCCATAGAGCATCAGAACAAACAGCTCTCCGTGTTGGTCCTCCCTTTCTACAATTCCACCCAGATAAGGTCACCCTATATCTGGACATCACCTTCCTTCCAAAAGTAGCTACTGATTTTCACGTCCACCAACCAATCATTCTGCCTACTTTCTTTCCTAAACTATCCACTGGTGTTAAGAGATCACTTCACCTCTTGCGTTCTACGTTAAAAGGACTGCTTCTTCCAGGAAGTCCAAGTGCCTGTTTATCTCTCCTCACCCACCTCACAGAGGAGAGCAACTTTCTCAGCAAACCATATCAAAATGGATTGTCCAGACCATTTGCCTAGCTTACCAACTTGCCAAGAAGCCCCTTCCTGGCGATGTCAAGGCTCATTCCACCAGGGCATTAGCAACGTCTACGGCCTTTCTCAGAGGTGTTCCAGTCCAGAACATCTGCAGAGCTGCCACCTGGTTGGCACCGTCTACCTTTGCATCCCATTACTAGTTGGAAATGCGGGCCAAGGCAGATGCTAGTTTTGGATGCAAGGTGCTTTCTTCAGTTCTGCCGTGACGTCCCTCCACCTATAAGGTAAACTTGTTAATTACCCATTAGTGTGCATTCACAGAGACCATGGAGAAGAAAGAGAGGTTACTTACCTGTAACTCTGGCACTTCGAATGGTCAGCTGTGAATTCACACCTCCCGCCCGTCCTCCCCTCTGTCTGTCACATCTGTGTCTTTCTTTGAGCAGCAGCAGCATTGGGGCACTGAGGTAATCACTAGGATGGGCAGACCATGTGGGCTGTGGGGGGCAGGGCAGTCCTAGCTATCTTTTAGCTCCAGAATATTCCAAGGCCTCTGCGCAAGCACAGACTTAACCCATTAGTGTGCATTCACAGAGACCATGGAGAAGAAAGAGAGGTTACTTACCTGTAACTCTGGCTCTTCGAATGGTCAGCTGTGAATTAACACCTCCCGCCCGTCCTCCCCTCTGTCTGTCACATCTGTGTCTTTCTTTGAGCAGCAGCAGCATTGGGGCACTGAGGTAATCACTAGGACGGGCAAACCACGTGGGCTGTGGGGGGCGGGGCAGTCATAGCTATCTTTTAGCTCCAGAATATTCCAAGGCCTCTGCGCAAGCACAGACTTAACCCATTAGTGTGCATTCACAGAGACCACGAAGAAGAACCCATAACTATATGGGTCTTAAAGTGACTTTGTGTTTGGTGTTGCCCAATTTTATTTGCAAATCATGAGCAATTAGTTTATCAGATTGTAAAGTTGATTAATATAATTGATATGAGCTATAATGATATATTTTAGTAATCCTCCTTAAAATAATTGATGAAATATAATGTGCTGTTTTATAGTGCTCCTTTTGGATAGTCATATTGTATACTAATGTACAATAAATACTGTTTTTGTTTGATTTGAGTAAATTTGTTCAGGAACATACTATTAAAAGGCTTGGGTTTAATTGACTCTATTAAAAATTAAATTTTGGGCCAGTAATATAAAAGGTATCTCTGTTATCTCACATATTAAGTGAACCACTTTGTTTGGATCACTCCACATGAGTTACCACTAGTCATCAAGAAGATAAACTGGGGTAAAGTTAAACAATCATACAGGTCATACAGGTGTTGAGTTATTTTGAGTAGGTTGGCATGATAAGGAATTGATTTTTAGAGTAATGGAAAGACTTTAAAAATTAAAGAGAGCAATAACAAGGTCACAGTGTTCTCTCACATTTTAAGTGAACCACTTTGTTAGGATCACTTCCACATGAGTTAGCACTAGTCATCAAGAAGAAAAACTGGGGTAAAGTTAAACACTCATACAGGTCATACAGGTGTTGAGTTATTTTGAGTAGGTTGGCGTGATAAGGAATTGATTTTTAGAGTAATGGAAAGACTTTAAAAATTAAAGAGAGCAATAACAAGGTCACAGGAATTAGAAAGAAGACTCTTCGAAAGTATCCTGAATCTATCAGTGATGGCATGAAGAAAATCCATACAAATCAATGTATGGTTATTTTTTTAGTGGTCTATAAGGGTATCACCTATTTACATTTGGATTTTATTTTGTTTGGATCACATGTCCACCCTTAGTCCAACAAAGTGGTGGCTGCTAGTAGATCAATAGATATTTTAGCTGTAACTAGAAGAAATATACGACTTGGGACATACTGAAGTGTATGACGTTATTTGACAACTTTGTGAGAGGGTGTAGAAATCATATTGCAAATGAGGACAAAGTGAAATCTAAGAAGTGTCTTACTCTGTGACAATGCATGACAAAATCACTCTGAAATTAAGTTTGCAGAGTTATATGTAATTAACTCTCCTGTTGCTGCACAGCTCAGTTGTGGTTAGATTAGCCCAGCTTCACATGATGGAAGTGGTGTGGAAGAAAATTGTTATCTCCTAGAATTCCCATAATACTTATGTTAGGGTGGGATCTAATTTGTTACTAACATCCTGGTTGACGTGTCATTCATAAATAACAGAGAGGAAGGAACCAGCAAGGCTAATGTAACAGCTATACAAACTTCAGTGGTTTGACAATGTCCAGCCATTACAGGTTTACACAAGGTTCTCATAAGTTGCTGTGGCTAACTGATGAAGTGCCAGGACAGGTATTGGACATATGTCTGGTCATGCCAGAACCCCTTACTAGTTATGCATATTTTTCACAAACACTAATAGGATTCCAGCTAGTATATTTTACAATAAGCATGTCAGGAGACAAAGGCCAACTATCTCACTTAAAGAGGGCTGCACTTTAAGATAGTGATATGATAATTCTATGGCTTTATAGAATTGTTGTTTTCTCAGTTAAGCCAATTTTTTTTTTGGTTCTTTCTCCAACCTTTTATGGCTTTATATGACAGCAGTGGTTTTAAAATATATGGTAGAATGACTCATATTTCAGTATTTTCACACAGATAATCAGCTCCTCAGCATCTCTCAGCTGGAATTTACTTTTATATATTGCAAAAGATGTGTGCTTTGGAATATAGTCTGTCAGTTTGCAATGCTTGTATTATGTAACACAACAGGAGTTCTGTTCTGTAATTGCGGCTTCAAGGCACTACTCTAGAAACACATCATATCCATTTACAAGACCAGCCAGGCAGATAGACAGATACACATGGTAAAAATTGTTTAATGTATCATTCTTTTTTTCTCAGAAAATGAAACGCTGGGACTATATCTGTTCCAGGAGCACATTCCTATACATGTCTGAAGTAAATGGCTATAGGGTTGCAATCTACTTTTTTTTGTTATTTAGAAAGGGAAATGCTTAACAGAGCCTGCTGTCAGCCAAGTATAATTACAAAGCAGAATGTTTTGTAGTACGACTGAGAGTGCATGTGTATGTTTGACAGCTAGAGCAATAAGGGGAAAAAAAGTACTCAGAAGTGGTTTGCCATTCCCTTCTTCTGGGGCTTGACCAAGGCCACACAGGTTAGCTCTTCTCCCTGGAGTCACAAACTCCCAGTCTCCAACTCTGCAACTGGATACCTCACTTACTGAGCTATTCAGCCAGCAACCATTATTGACAATGGCTTAAATTCTGTTGTTTAGTGTAGTAAGTGACGCTGGAGGAAGCCCATTAAGTTAGTGGGGGTTTGGTGAATCGTTTCCTGTAAAAAAAACTGTATTGATTGAAATGGGCCTACTCTAACTGCAACTTATTATGATGAACATTTCAGCCACAATATATGAAAGCTCCAATATTGTACTTTCATACTGTTTTCAACATCTATATAGTAACGCACTTTTATGACTATATCTAAAGTTCGTAAAGTCATAGAATAATTGAGTTGGAAGGGACTTTCAAATCCAACTCCCTGCTCAATGTGAAAGTCCAAATCAAAGCACATCTGACATATGGTTACCCAATTTTCTCTTGAATGCCTTCAGCACTGGAGCAATCATCACCTCCCAAGGTAATTGGTTTCATTGTCGTACCGCTGTAACAAGACGTTTTTCCTGATCTTCAGCCTAAATCTGGCTTACTGTAGCTTGAGCCCATTATTACATATCCTGCACTCCAGGATGAAACATTAAGTCTTGTGTTTACAGTTCTTAAAGTATTTCTGGATGAAGCTGGGAGGGGGAAGGTAAGTGGAAACCGTTTTAAGACCATACTGTGGAGATTTAATTGTAAATATTTGTTATTTAAGCAGTTGATTGTTTTTTAGAATATGACTGTGAAATACAGCTCTTTGAATACACTATTATGAGTATATGTAATGCAGGGACCCCTTTCATGGATTGCTGCCTTGTCGTGGCGAAGGGGCTTGAGTAATTCAGAGAAGCTATGTGCTATGCCATGCAGGGACCCCCAAGATGGACAGGTCATAGGGGAGAGTTCTGACTAAATGCCATCTACCTGGAGCAGGAACGGGCAAGCCACTCCAGTAGCTTTGCCAAGAAAACTTCATGGACAGAAACAAAAGGATAAAAAAGATGATTCTGGAAGATGAGCTCCTCAGGTCGGAAGGCGTTCAACATGCTACTGAGGAAGAGCGGAGGACAAGTACAAGTAGCTCCAGAGCTAATGAAGTGGATGGGCCAAAGCTCCAATACTCTGGCCATCTCATGAGAAGACTCCCTGGAAAAGACCCTGATGTTAGGAAAGTATGAAGGCAAGAGAAGGGGACGACAGAGGATGAGATGGATGGACAGTGTCATCGAAGCTACCAACATAAATTTGATCAAACGCCAGGAGGCAGTGGAAGACAGGGGCCAAAATCACATCCATAGGAACTGTGTCAACTGGAGCACTATCACAACATAGGGTTTCTTACAAGCTATACCCCATCATCAATGAGATTTATTCCCAGTTTTCTACCATTAGCACATTATTTGCCATCCCATTCATTTCATCTTTGCAAATTGTTACTAAACTAGGGGTTAACTTGCCTCCACTCTGTGGGACAGGATGTTCAAAGTCTGCTTCCCTGGCCCTGACAGGATTGCCTGCTGAGGAAATTCCTCAACAGCCTTCAGGAATGGTATGAACCATCTAAATTGGCCCCTCTCTCCTACCAGTGAATCTAAACTCCATGAGGAGATCTGACAATGGTAATAGAATTACCAAGTTCCTTCATGAGATGGAATTATACCCAGATCACTATTATTTTGCCTACTACAAAAACAGGTACAAAGTATTTCCTACTGCTGTATGGGCCCCCAAAACACTTGAGATAGAACCGTGGCCATAATGGAGGGCATAAATTCCTGAGCCACTCCTGATGAAATGGACTCCATATGGATGTTGAAGACAGGAACAAGAGAGGTGAGGGGACTTCGGCACAGTAACTCTGGCTGGGAAACTGTTGAGCAGGGTTGGGGAGGTAGTACTTGGAGAATGAATAGAATAATGATAAACCATGGTGATTGCTTCCCCACATCCCAGATCTTGCTTGCCGCTGCACTGAAAACCCTAGTGGACGGAGGTTAACTCATATATGTACAATTTGATATCAACATGATACTAATTAGCAACCAAGTGTGCTCTCCTGTCCAATGCATTCCTATAATCAAAGCAATATGACCTGTTCTTTCAGAGAACAGGCTCTTCAAGTGAAGTCACATCTGTGTTTCTAGGCAATAAGCTACTGCTAAGTTAAATTAAGAGCACCACGGGTTAATATTATAATTTTAAGTAGGACTAAAAAAATGTTGCTGCTACAATTTGAAATATCTTATTACCCTGATAATCTCCTGCAGGGAAGTTATACAATGATACCAATTTAAGTAATGGAAAACCCTGTCCCTCAAACACTGATTCAGTGTATTATGCTACAAAGGAAACACATTGTGAAGTTCAATTTAAATCAGTAAAACTTACAACACTAAGGTCAGGATACCAGTGATAACATGGTTTGTATTTCACTAAATTACTTTAATGTTTGTTTAACGTACAAGACACCACACAGTACCAGAGGTGCCCAGTAAATTCTACTTACATGAACACTTGATAGGCTTTACCATGCTTTACTCACATAGATTTGAGTGTCTGATCACTGTCCCCAAGAACTAACTACATCCCATGGAATGCTTGTTTTCATCCCTGGCATTATTGGTCCCAGACAAAATCCTAAGACAGTATTAGGCAATATCACAAGAATTTGCATGATTCACACCTTCAATTATGATCAGTTTAATGTTTTTTTATATACTATGTTAGGAAGAAAAAGTGGTCAACAGTTCTTTGTATACAGTAAAAATAATATGAAAGTTAGCTTGTTCCTTTCCCATTGTAACTAACAATATGCATTACAAATACATTAGCAACAGAAAAGTGAACAGTTGGAGTTTTGTTGGTGCATATTATGTAATGAAACAATCAAAACCTTTCCTTTGCTGCCTTGAAGAATTTATTCATTCTGTGCCTCAGAAAACAAATCAAAAGTTGATATGTCATACATCAGGCTACATAACCTCACTCAGCATTAGGATTTAATTCAATTCCAGGTAAGTTCTCAAGGATCAGATTCCAGTGATTGGCAGGACCCAAAGCAGCAGGATAAGATCAAAATCCCAGCATGTTTTTGCCTTCAAGATCTTACTGTCAGTACATAACAGCAGAATAATTGTCTTTTGAAACTGGGGAAAAGCTACACAAAATCTGAGAAACCAGCAAATCAGTGTCACTGCAAGAGAAACAGCCATTCAGGTTCAGTTATAGGGCATGAGATTTCACAATCGTGTTGAAGACTGTCACCAACAGGCATTAAGGCAGTTTCATTCATACCAATGCTCCCTCTAATTATCTGCCAGCACTGGGTGGGGGCCCCACCTTGGGAACATAGGGTTCTGGCCATGACCAGAACCAAATGGGTGGCAGTTTGCAACACTGGCTGCAGCACTGTTTGGCCATGCACCCACACAGCTTAGAGGGAACACTGATCCATACTAATCAATAAAAGCCGACTATAAAAAGGTCTCTAGATTTGCATTTGCTGTCCAAGAAATATTTCCATAATATGTATGTATTTAGAACAGAATCAGTCCTCCAAAATGTAGCATGACAAGTGTATTGCTCATTAAAGCATTACTTGCATCCTCATTTTGTTCCTGTATTAGTGCTGTTGAGAGAAGGAGATAACACACAAGAGGAAACGTTGCCTCCATTGAATTATTTTATTAAGATCCATGTACTTTATAAAATAGAACAAGAAAACCAAACCATCTATAAAATCAAGTGAGCAGTCCAGATGACAAATCACGAGAAGCTCTGCTTTTGTGGCTCAGCTTGGTGTCACGAAAATGCTAAGTCTCAAGCCATATAGTAACTTGATGTGCATGTATATGTGTATATACACACACATAAACACAGAGAAAGCTGATATGTCTGAAAAGTACGCCAAAGTAAGTTGCAAGGAAAGTTGACTTTCCTGAACTGCAGTTGCCCTTGACAAAGGTTACAATGATGCTCAAATGAAAAAAAAAACATCAAGCACCTCTGAAGAATTGCTAGGAAGAGCTTCACATTGAGCAGTCAGAAGGAAAGTTCAGAAAATACTGCACTGTAGCTGTGATATAGTGCCATAGGCTCCATGTTTCACAGAACATGTATTAGAGGAAGGCCTTTAATTTTAAATGTGACTGTAACCATTATATCCACCCAGAGTAGGTAGCAATTAAAAAGGGAATGTTACCTCCAAAATGAATAATTTTAAGCCTCCTTCTGGAATGTGTTACAAACACAATACACTCAACAGCCCTTTCCTTGTTTTTAATGTACTATCCAAATTAAACTTCCAAATTCATGTCCTGAAGCACTGGCTCACACGCCCCAGGAACAAAACAATAACACTAGAATTATTTTACATTTTTAACGAATCATCCAACTGTGCACAACAATGCACTATTTCCTACTAAAAATCTGTACAAAAGGGAAAGTGCTATCCTTCTATCAAAGTGAATAATACCACTGGATAATATACCCACAAGTCAAGAAGAGTACTGCTTACCCAAGATGAAAAAGGTCAAACAACACCCAATACCTTAAAGGGTCTAACTGAAAGACAGCTAACTGTACCAAAGGGAAACCACAAAGCACCAGATTCAGCACAAGGCAGAACATAGCCTCCAATCTTTATCACAGTCACAGATACACCAGTCTTTCCCAAGCAACCCTGAATAGCCATAGCATCTGGCTTTTGCAGAAGTCAGCTGACAGACGCAGGGTTAGCACTTGCTCACATTAAACAGACAGGATTTCACAGAACAGTGCTTTTATCCAAGGTAAGGCAAATTATTCCATAACATGTAGATGCAATTTAAGTATTAAAATGAATGAGAAGAGCTTTAAAGGAAGACAAAAGCTCTTGAATTTTATGTTGTTTTAAATGTTGCAAATACATGTTTGTTAATATCCTGTCTTTGGTACAATTTAAAATCAAAAGTAAACTGATGGGAAGCTACAGGTATACATTCTCAATGTGGGAGAGAAATACATTTGCAGACACAATAATTAACATGGAAAATTAAAACCAGATGTTGATTAGTAAGCAGTATCTGGAGTTCATGAAATGTGGACAAGACTCACTTTTTCACTATTATATGACCACTGGTTGGTTGCAATAAGAAAAGTTACTGTAACCAAGTTAAAGATTTATTTGATTTCTACTTTAACTGATGAAGGGAGCCATAACAGTTTTGTTCTTCAATTTCCTCTCAACTTTACATAAAGCCACATACATACATCCACACACATGTACACACCCCTTAATCTGCTCTGAAAATGTCATTTATATTTTTTTTCTTTTTGACTGAAAAAGTATATCCTGGGAATAAGTGCAAAATGCAAAAATCAAATGACAGGAACTGCTGAACAAGCAGCATAATTAAAATACAAAATATTTTATATTATTGAACTATTAAACGGGTAACGTTCACTGCTTCTGTAAAACTTTGGAACCACACAGCTGATTTCTTAGATCTAGTCCATGTTGACTTCCAGAACTATTAATGAATTAATTTGCTTCATTTTTTGATGCTTCATCAAAGTTTTCTACAAGATCTGCAAAAAATAAAAATAAATTATAATGCAATTTAAAGATGAGATAACATCAACATTTCCCCCCTTATCTGAAATAGCTTTAGAAAGCTACAATGCAGAGACTGTAATTCTACACAAACCTAAAACCTTTGCAGTGCTTGTAGTGCTGGAGCTCACCCATTAGTGTGACAGCACTTTCTGCATCCCTTCCCAAGCAGATCTCTGTGCCATTCAAAAATTAGTTCTAGAGCAGGGGTCCCCAACATTTTTCACCCTGCAGACTGGCTGGGGAAGGTGGGGCACACACACCCCGGTGCTCGGACGCATGTGTGAACGAGTGAATGAGCTCATGCGCACAACCGCACGCATGCAAAAATGGCCATGTGGCACTCACACAGGCACTCTCTTGTGTGCCTGCGTGAATCCGCTATGCGGGGGTGAGTGTATGTGGGAGGCAGGAGGTCTGTCTCCCCAGCCCCATCCAGCTCAGGCCACAGACCGGCACTGGGCGGCAGACTGGAGGTTGAGGATCTCTGTTCTAGAGGGTTTCCCAATAGCTTGTGTGTGTAGAGGGGACTGCATGACCAAGAGGCAATCTCCTCTTTATCAGTTCTAGAGGATCTGCCAACTATCCCTTTGGATTCTGGCCATAATTTTTGCTTCAACATTTCATGCTATCACAAAAGGCCTTCTTTTGTCTATACAGTGGTGCCTCGCATTACGACGTTAATTCGTTCCAGTAAAATCACTGTAGAACAAAAACGTTGTAAAGCGATTTAAAAAAAACCCATAGAAATGCATTACAACCCAGTTAATGCATTCCTATGGGCTGGAAACTCACCGTCCAGCGAAGATCCTCCATAGTGCGGCCATTTTCGCTGCCTGTGCAGCAAGGAATCCATCTCAGAAAACATCGGGCGGCCATTTTGAAACCACCGATCAGCTGTTAAAAAATTATCGCTTTGCGAGAATCAGTTCCCGAAGCAGAGAACCGATCATTGCAAAGCGAAATTCTCCCATAGGGAACATCATTTTGCGATTGCAAAACATCGACGTCAAGCGGTTTCGTCATTAAACGGAGCGCCCGTCTTGCGGGGCACCACTGTATTACTGTAAACTGGATGGTTTACAATTCTACCAATTCAGCACAGAAAGAATAAACTCATTAAATCCTTCTTGTTAACTTCAAGACTTACTGTAAGTTTTTTCCTTGGGCCAGTATGTGTAGAGTCAGGCTGTAACTACACAGTCAAATACTGTGGGATTTGCTGTGGGTGCAAAATTGATGAATTCCCCCCTTTTAAAAAAACTGATCACACGGCACAAAGACCAATTCAAATCAGTTCAGCCCTTTTTGCTCCCAACTTGATTTTTTTTCTGAACAATTGGGTTTTTAAAAAACTTTTTTTCAAGCCAGAATGAATTGAATAAACCCTCCCCCATGTGATCAGTTGCTTTATTCTCCAAATGGATGGAGAGGCATGGTGTGGGTTGTATTTTGCTGACATACTAAGCTGGGCATGATGGTTTGGACAACGGGAACACCCATCCCCATGATCTTACTCCCTAGACCAGAGGTCCCCAACCCCCAGTCCACAGCCCGGTGCCAGTCCATGGCCTAAGCCAGACCGGGCTGCCGAGACAGACCTCCCTCCACATCCCCCACATGCACTCACCCCAACACAGCCCGTTTGTGCCTGTGCACATGCTCCAGCACACCAGTGCAAGCGAGAGCAAGAGCGCTTATTTGCGCATGCACACAAGCGTGGGGGGTGCCCTGCCTTCCCCAGCCAGTCCGTGGACCAAAGAAGGTTGGGGAGCGCTGCCCTAGACAACCCAAAGTATTTTTTAAAAAACGAAACAAGTTTGGTGTACAATCACCTCTGCATGAACCAAACAAAGAGATAAAAATCAAGACAAAATACAAATAGAAACAACTCCAATGAACTACAGCAGACTACTGTATTTCTATGACATGTGTGCATGTGCTGAATATTATGGAGAACTTGCAATGTAAAACTGCAAAATATTAAAGCCCTGACCTCACCAGCAAGACTACAGCTTGGGCTTAGGTAAAACAGAGTTCTGCCTAGCAACCCGCAGCTTTACCTTGTATTTTCCCAATATTAATTTCTCAAGTGTTTACCAATGATGCATATAATACATAAAATCTCTGGACATAGTTTTGCAAAATAATTCAAATGCAGTTGCATATGACATTTCTACAAAACTAAAGGCAATGTTGATGAATATTATGTATGTGGTATAATACAAAATTTCTGAAATACAAGAGATAATGCAATGCATACGTATGAGCCCGTTAGTAGCATTTCAACTACTACTGGCAACTATACTTAAGCAGCTCTAAGCCCCTGTTTGTTCTTAAAAAGATTAGTCTAACACAGAATCTATGCTAAGTTATATATACAGTATATCAGTTTAACAGGAACTCAGAATTACACTTACTGATAGTCAATTTTTTGTATGCTCTGTGATAGTTTTCCACAATATTGCCGTAGGGATATATTTAATCAGACAACTGTGATATGGAGAGCTACAGAACACAATGACCCATGACAAAATGCAATTTCACTATGGATGCAATTTCAGGCAGTCTCCTGTTTACATCAGGGGGAGGGAACATGTGGTTTTCCAGGTGCTAATGGACAACAGATCCTGTCACCCATAGCAGCATAGTTAGTAGTGAAGGATGACAGGAGCTGAAGCAAAACAACAACTGGAAGGCCACATATTCCCTAATCCTGGTTTATGTGAACTAAATCTTAAGGTAAAGGGCAGGGAAGGGATGAAAGATGTGCCAAGATCCTACTCCATCTGATGGGTCCTCTGACTCTTTGGAAGCACAGCAGGTACATAGCATTCTGCATAAGTTTCTTCAAGTTGTGGCCAATGAAAGCTATGTGCTTCAGGAAGTAACACTAAGATTTTTTAACAAGCACCTTCTTTTAACATCTATGTTCTATCTAGAGATTGACTTCTCTAATTAAAGAGAACACTATCATACATTTAAGTCCAATAAACATTCATTAAATACTATATTATTTTTAAATTAAAAATCCTACCAGGAACATCATCATCTTCTTCATCAATATCTTCCGATTTTGGTACTTTGCTGTCCAACACTGGAAAATAAAGGTAAGGATTTATATATGGAATTAACCAATTTCTCTCAGTTCAACACAAGGATATATAATACATAAGGAAAACACCAAAGTTACAGAATAAAACAAAAGCACCATGCCACAAATAATCAAAGGTTTTGTAATGATGACTATGTAATACTGACAAATGCTTTTATACATAATAAAAACAAATGTTACAAACAACTGTTGGCAGTGTCAAAAATCTACTTCATTACTGTAACCGCTACAGAATGCAACAGTTCCACTTGCTTCAAAACCAATACTACATCCTTGAAGTACCATGTCCTCTCAACAAGTATCAAACATATAACCAGTGATGCCATACAAATCCTGTGATTTTTTTAACTCAACAGAAGAATCTAATGAATTACACTTGAGATACTTCTCTTAAAACATTTCACGTAACAGTCTGTACAAACATTTTTATTGGAAGTGTGCAGATGTACACTTTTGGACTAAAACCTCAGACTTCCCCAGGTGGAATTTTGGGAGTTGTAGTCTAAAAACATACACCTGGATACCTCTAATTTTTACTCTCTGTGCTGATACATGTATTGATGCATTACAAGTCATGGTTTGAGGAGAAGACACTAGGGGCCCCTTTCAAGTTGAATGGGAGGCCACTGATTAAATGTGCTAATAACATGCAATGCAACATGTTACATATGAGCAGATAAGGACAGGAAAGCATTATAAGACTCTAAGGAGGCTGACTATTCTATAACAGGTAGCCACACATTGTCCAGAACTCCAGATACACTCCTAAAAATCAATTCTCTGCGACATTCTGCTTATGGTACTCCAACTAGCTCAACTATTAATTACTGCACACAAAGCCATTTTCAGAACAAGGTACTCATGAAATCCTTATAAAATCTGGGCAGTGAGGAAGCAGTAAAACATATTTTAAAACATGCCTAGGATTACACTGCCAGTTGCACTGGCTGTCCAGAACACCATTTAAGGGAGGTTAATTTTAAGAAACTAGGTTGGCAACCATGAAAAATTACACCAGAAAGATTGGTGAGCAAGAAACATCTATTTAGTATAAGGAAAGCTAATACGTAATGTAACTAGAAAATGTGTATTAACAATAAATAAAACTCACAGTTCTCAAGATTTTCAGGAAGTTATACACCTACCTTGCCTTGGGAACTGTTCAGCTAGCTTTCTGAGACTTGTTAAACTGTCAGCTCCCAACTGGCTTAAGATGCCAGGTAGCATTTCCGTGATTGGTTTGGCTTCAGCGTGCCCAGTAATTGCAAATGTGTTTGCAGATAGTGAAGCCTGGACCTTGGGATTGTTGAAATGAATAACCGTCCCATCATCTTTTATCATATTCACCTGTTTAAACACAGCTCTGTTAATAGCCAAATACCTTAATCACTGTACTAGAAAGAACATTACCAAACAACGAAAACAACTACCAAGGTTTAAAAAATTCTGTAACAGTAAAAATCCCGTGCAAAAAATATGGAAGTACTGAAGTACATGTTGGCTTCTGACCTTTCAGTATTCCTCCATGAAACAATTTTAATTTGACTTTAGGCTTAGAATAGTAAGTCATCTTGGTAGATAACCTATGAGGTAGATGGAGGAGGCCATCCTGTTGTATTTCCCAGCAGTTTCTGATACTATCAGTCATGGTATCCATCTGGGCGCTCTCTCTGAAGGTACCATTTTACAAAGCTGCGATTTTTCGCAGAAGGCCCAGCTCAGAAGTTGATGAGTGACACTGGACTCTTGTTCTACAACTTGGCTATTGGCCTGTGGGAGGTTTGCTACCTGGTTATATTTAAATTCAATTATCCAAAAAACCCTCAATTTTATGAATGTGGGATCTAGTGCTTCTGTATCCATGATTCAAAATGCCATGTATCCATGATTCAAATTGCTGCATAATATTGTGCCCACATTGCTAGCAAGAAAAAAAGATGCCAAGATTTACATAGTAAATGGCAGCCTGGATGTTGCCAACACCAAAGGCAGCAGTCAAGATGCTCTACAGGATGTCCTCTTGTGCTCACTTCCATTTATAAAGAGACATCAAACCCGGAAGCTCACTCTTTTTTTCATCAGTTAACCTCTTCTCTTCCAAACACAGAGCAATTGTCATGGTTTTTTAACAAGTGTAAACGCAAGAGCAGACTGCCTATTACAACTATGTCATATCTGGTGCTAATCTGAAAACCAGTTTAAAAGTTTTGTATTTTTTGGTCTGGGCTGCCCCATTTTTAGAACTGCCTTTATAGAATGTTGATTTGCTCTACCAGCACAAGATCATTTCTGTATTCTCATGCAGCAGTGCAGGGAAGGGGTGAGTGAGGAGCATGGAATATTGGATAGAATGGCTCTGATTGGCTGGAAGAAACTAGGGAAGTTGAGGGTTGGCAAGATATTTTGATCAGTGTGATATAGAGAGATTTGTGAGAGGGTGATTGGGAATTTGAGGGGAAAAGAGGTGATAGAGTGAAGAATTATCCTGAATGAATTTAAAGCCTATGAGCAAACAGCAAATTTTGTACATTCTTATTTTAATAAAATCCTATTAACTTAAATGGTGTGGAGCACAGTATCTGGAGCTTGTCTATATGAAAGACATTATAAGGGTCTGAAAGAAGGAAGCAATAAGTATGTGTATGGGCAATGAAAGGTTGGTGACAGCAAAAGAGGAAGAGAGGAAATGTGAATTTTAAAGAAAACACATGTATTCCTGTGGTTATTTAAAGAGCTAAGGTAAAGGCAAAAGTTCCCCTTGACATTTAGTCCAGTTGTGTTCCGACTCTAGGGCGCAGTGCTCACCCCCGTTTCCAAGCCACAGAGCCAGCATTTGTCTGAAGACAGTTTCCGTGGTCATGTGGCCAGTGCGACTAGACAGAGAATGCTGTTACCTTCCCACCAAGGTGGTACCTACTGTATTTATCTACTTGCATTTACATGCTTTCAAACTGCTAGGTTGGCAGGAGCTGGGACAAGCGACGGGAGCTCACTCCATCGTGTGGATTCGATCTTACGACTGCTGGTCTTCTGACCCTGCAGCGCAGAGGCTTCTGCGGTTTAACCCACAGCACCACCACGTCTCTCTTATTTAAAGAGACCATTGCCTAAATAAACAAGTGACAAGATAAAGGGAGCCTTGACATCAATATATGAGATAGTGGTAGGACAGGGGCTCTCAGGTTTCTGTTCTTTCCCCAAAAATATATGTAAGACTGCAGAGAGAGGAAGCTTGGTGTGTTGTGGTTCAGTATCACCAATATGTAGATAGGTATTTGCACTTCTCCTTTCCATCTAAAGAGCTTTCTGGGACTATTAATGGACTAGATAAGGATGAATAAGCTGAAGTTTATGCCAGACAGATAGAAGTGTTCCTGGTCATTGAAAAAAAACAAACAACCCGAGTCGAGTCCAAGTCAAGTCACTTGTACGACTTGTCAATTTGACAGCGAATCCCACTACTTGAGTCCACATCCCTACAGAGCATATTGTCACAGTTCCGGAAATGTTCCAAAACATCTAATGCATGACCACATCACTGTTTGGTGCAAAAAGATCTAACTAGATGCTTTCAAGACAGATTCAGCAGGATGTCTATGTACCATTCCTAGATGTTCTATTTGCCCATGACCAAGGTATTTATTCTGTCATGCAAACTAATCCTTGAACGGATGTTCGGATTGCTTAAGAAAGTCAGTACCATCCAGTAAAAAGGTTATGATACCCATATCCCAAAACATTCAAAAGGCTTCATACACGAAACCCAAAGTGATGTCATTAAACTTTAGCACAGAATTTCTACCTTATACACACTTAAAATTCAGCCAGTTTGCTCAAGTTGGTATTATGGGACTTGTAGCTCAGAATACCTGAGGGAAAGGTCCAAGATCATTTGGACATCCTTCTTCTGAAAAATTTCCATGATTTCTGGGATTAGAAGTTTAGCCAAAGAAGAAAGCATTCAGATACGACAGAAAAAACACTGATACCAATATACCTCTTCAATGCCAGCAATATTATTTACAGCCAATTTTTTGAGTGAACTCTGAAGTTTTTTGTCATCAGCGGTTGCTGTTCTGTGCACTACCTTCTTCTTTCTGCGAGCTGTACCCTGAGAAAGACAGTAAAAATAAACATGAATTGTTCCTAAATAAAGAAAAATGTATCAAACTTATGTATCAAAATACATTTTTAAAAAACCTGTGCCACCTTTAACACATACACTAACTGGTACATTCCAGAATGAGGATTTGTAGTCAAGAGTCTACTTGATTAGATACAGTGGTGCCTCGCATAATGAGCACCCCGTTTAACGATGAATCCACATAGCGATGCAGATTTTGCGATCGCAAAAGCAATCGGATTGCGATGTTTAAATAGGCAAAACACCGCATTGCGATGATCGGTAAGCATTTCGCTTACCGATGTTCGCATTGCGATGTTTTAAAACAGCTGATTGGCAGTTCCAAAATGGCCGCCGGATCAACAAAATGGTCGCCCGGAGCGTTTTCTCGCCGATTCCTCGCTTACCGAGGCGGCGAAAATGGCGGCCCTATGGAGGATTTCCACTTAGTGGTCAGTTTATCCCCCATAGGAACACATTAAACGGAGTTTAATGCATTCCTATGGGGTTTTTATTTCCGTATAGCAACGTTTCCGGATAGCGACGATTTATCCGGAACGGATTATCGTCACTATGCGGGGCACCATTGTACTTTCCTAAGTATGCAACTCAAGGAAAAATAAAGTAAAGCATTTCAAGTTCATGCTGGCATAACAGGAAGGCAAACTTCATTCTGTGGAGGAAATTCTACAAGGCAAAAAAGGAGGGAAGTTGCAATTGTAGGGTTTGCCCCAGCTGCAGTGGCAAAATCAGTTTCTGCTTCTCCTCCTTTAAGCAGGAAGCAACCAATCCCCTTTCCACCCAATAAGCTTTTAAAGAAACTGTCAAATGCTCAGACACCATAAAATATACTGATTAGGTCACTTTAACATTTGTGAGGAAATCTGTTCTACTTATTGCAGGAAAGTTTGACCTAAGGAAATTCAATAACAGAACAACCCCCCCCTTTTTTTTTCCTAAAAGAAGGATGAGACTGGAGCAGCAACTGGGGAGGAGTTGAGGGGGAATTCAGAGGATAAAGAATGGATAGCGGCTGCAGGACGACCAGGCTTGAGCTACAATTGCTACAAGTGCACATATACATCAGAAAGAGCAGCAAAATGGGCAAAACAGAAATGCTTAGCATCCTGGAATTTGGAAAATACACATATTTATGTTCCATGTGTTGCTGACTACGTATATTTATGCATGAAAAGCCTGATATTCCCATATTTACTGTTCATACCTTTCCGCCTATTCGGACCTGAGCCTGAAGTTTAGCCAGCTTTTCTTGATTCATCTTGTTTTATCTGAAAAATCAACTGATTTAGGTTTACAACATATTCAGATATCACTGTTTAAAATAATTCAGTATCATTCAAGATAGCAGGTTATGTATTTACATATAATATTAATTACTAAGGCATATCTCTCACTATGCTTGAGCCCAGCTTCTGGCAATTGATGGTATGTACATGTGTGCTGAAATTATATTTCCTCTCTCTGTTCCCAACTTTTGGTTGTCATCTCCTCCACCCAAATGCCATGCCCTTCCTGGTGCTGCAAATTGGTTTTGCCTCCATACAACTATCCTAACAGCAGCATTTTATTTCCCTAAATAAACGAGCAGCAGCTATTCATGCACACAAGCATGGGAAGGCATTAAATTTACACCAGTGGACAGTAAACTGTACCTGGAGCAAAAAAATAATGGGTGTTCCCTCTCAACTATGTCTCAAGCTGAAACCTGTTTACTGTGTTGCACAGTAACAGAACTAAATAAAAAAGTCTACATCTGCACAGGAAACTGCCTTATAGCAGATCAAAATATTGGTCCACTTAGCCCAGAACTCTGACTGACAGCAGCCCTCAGGGTTTTTATAGGCCTACCTGAACATTCCTGGTGTTTCCTAATGGTGTCCTATCCACATACTAATCAAGTCTGATCTTATTTAGCTTCCTTAATCAGTTGAGATTGGTGCTATGAAGTATCATAGTGCGATGGAGTACGCTGCAGGCAGACCCACATCTTTAATTGGATGGTTGAAGCAAAATAAATAATATTTCTTTATCATGTTAGAATAGGACAGAAAATTGGAAGTTTGCATGATAAAGAGGAACTGGATGGAAGGAGTTACACCAAAGATAGTTACATCTGCAGCTGTCCCTTTACTACCACACTCAACAACAATATTTCAGAAGGAGTTACACCAAAGTTAGTTACATCTGCAGCCTTTACTACCACACTCAACAACAATATTTTAAAGTTCTTAACAATGATGTGCTGTAGAACAAGCTGAGAGACAGCATTTGGCCCAAGAGAACCTAGAGACTTTAAAGCTGAGGAATTTGAACACTGAAGTCTTATTCTGCCATACTAGCTGACTACAGGTGGATTCTAAGCATGTTTATAATGTGTCCAAGTTAATAAGCACAGGCACACAACCCTAGAAACATAAAGCCCCAATCCTAAACAAATGTACATATAAGTAAAAAAAATCAGTAAACACATTTTCTTTCAAACTGCAAAAAAGTTCATGCATTTATTTTTTCCCAATACATGATTTGGGAAGCCAACAACTGCAGTTAAAAATAAGAAAATACATTCAACCACCCTTTATTACTTTACACATCATACAAGAGTTAAGTTCTCTTTGTACGAACATGTTAGCTAAACAATCAACTTGTCTTACTACTTAAGGGATTTATGGAAATACTTCCTTAAAATTACTTTCGTACCAAGTTCCATTACAAATCTGAGTTTGCTTAGGAAATGGACAGCTCAATGCAGGTGACAGAGATACAATCAGTCAAATAAACTAGTACTATGATTGGACAGCTCAGTGGTTTGGGTATTTTACTGCAGAGCCAGAGGTTGGGTGTTCAATCCCTCACTGCTTTCTGAGAGTACAGCCAGCCTGCGTGGCCTTGGCTAAGCTGCACAGTCCTGAAAGGCACCCCAGAACAAGGGAATGGTAAACCACTTCTGAGTCTTTTCTACCTGGGAAACCCTGAAAAGGTCACCATAAGTCAGCATTGGCTTGATAGCACATGCTTAATTTTGAGCTGCAATTTATTTGCATTTGGGAAGAGAGATGGAATCTTTTTCTACTCCTGCCCCTCAAAAAAGGCATTCTATACAAAGTAGCACGTGAACAGGAAAAGTAAAGCTAATTTGTGACTCTTTATTCTCCAAGGCTTGACATTAACCATGTGTCCAAGTTACAATGGAAATAGCCAGATGTAATAATCAGCCTACATTTTTTGCAGGTGGAATCTTTTTAAACTGAAAAGGACAGCTGTCTGGGCATTTGGCAAGGAAACAAAACAAGCCCTAAAACAGCAATGTTGAAAAAACAGAAATTTGTTTTCAAAACATGAAAGCAGACAACCAAATCCCTTTATCGATGCCCTGAGAGACAGAAATGTCAACATGTGATGCATTCAACCTTAAGAACAAAAGAAATTCAGACCTGAGAAAGACAAAGGGAAAATAGATTTCATTTCACCCTTGGCATACCTACAGATGAGTGTTTTAAGAAAAACCTTAATGGTCATAAGTGAGACACAAACCCAGTTGGTCAGGATGATGAAACGACGAACCTTAATGGTCATAAGTGAGACACAGAGAAACCCAGTTGGTCAGGATGATGAAACGACCCTATTATTTGGGATGACAGAAAAGTCTACCAGGTGATACAGAAAATGTTAATCAAATAGTAATGGCAAAAAGGATTTACTATAATTTCAAAGGCCCTTGATCATGTACACAAATATGGTAATAGATTCAAAATACATAAATGTAGAGCACTAGCTATAGTCTGCGCAAAGTGAAAAACTATCTAAATATGCAGATCTTCACACAAAGGAAACAATGTTCTGAAGGCATGAGGAGGAAAAACTCAGCTCCCCAGAATTAAAAAAACACAACAAACCCTGGAAGAAACCCATCTAGATAAACATGGCCACTGAAACCTACAAAACAGAGAGAAGGCTCCATGTCACTATCCCCTAAAGATGGGGGGGAGGGAGATTTCCCTAAGGGAAACAGTAAGGAACCCCTGGTATAAGGGCGCTGTAGGGAAGTTTCCCCCCAAATATAAGGAGAACTCTCCCCCCCCCTTGTTTATTTCTATGGAGGAAGAGAGAGGAGGTGCGACAGCGGGGAACGATCCCTTGAGAAAGACTTGGATTCCCCCCCCGCCGCCTGCTTCAGAAACGAGAGATCGGAATGGAAACACAGGACCATCCATCAGCCCCGGGGCTACTGAGGAAAAACAGCTCTACCCAGGGGAGCCACACGAGGCCACGCGAACAAAGGAGAAGCAGGGGGCGGCGAGAAGAGGCCCAAGGTTTTAAACACACAAGCGACCCGTACCAGCGCTAAACGGGGCTTCTCGTGGGGCAAGCGAGTTGCCAGGCCTACTTTTCCTCCCCCCCCTTGCTCCTCAGCCCACCTGCAGCCCCTCCCACCGTCCACAGGCACGGGAGAGGGGGATCGCAAATCCGACCTGAGGGGTCATGAGGGGCTCAAGGGCAACGGGGGGGGAGGGTGTCAAGCAGGAAGTTTTCACCTCAGTCCGACGAACCTTCCGAAGACAACACGCGGCAAGAGCAAAATGGCGGATAGGTGTGGGGGGGGGAGAAAGAGGGGCCCAGAGCAAGGATGCCTCTGACCACGGGACCGTGGCCCCGCCCCTCTCATCTGATTGGAAGAAAACACGGACTCTTCTGCATAAACGCGGGCGGAGGCCTTCCCTCCCCCCTCACTCTTTCCCTTTTTCCGACGAGGCCGTAACAATACAGTACCGTAGCCTCAGTGTGGAAAGAGAGCGCGTCCAAAGCAATGGCATGCTGGGAGTTGTAGTTCTCCTTAAGAATGCTGAATTGGCACGGTACAGTACTTCTCTTAGACGCCGCAAGCTGTTTACCCACCAAGTTGGGATGGTTATTTCCTCCCATTTACGCTTTGTATAGCATGGGAACAGCAATACTGAAATGTAACTGCGGTCTCTTTCAAATACTGTACAAATTCCCCACGTCTTCTCCCGTTTGCATTCCGTCTCTAATGCTGCAATACTATTTAGCCACTTCCTGGTAATTAAACCCCAGGGAACATGGTCGGATTTCCTTAAGCAGTAGCGCAGGGAGTAACATCCCCTGGACGACTGCTTTAAGCGGAATGATGCTGAAACGGAGCTGGTCTCATCCGTGTTGCATTGCACTCGCAATCTGAGTAGCTTTATAGATCTCGCTATGCGGAAGTTATATTCCTTCATAAGCCATAGGACTAGCCACAGTTCACCTTTCAAAAGCTACCCTTTAAGTAACATTTTCCTTCTAGTACAAATAAAAAGGCTTTAGAAATACCTGTACACCTAAATTTCCAGCAAGGAACCAAGACACTTGAAATAACTTCTAGGTAGCATAAAAATGGGATTCCCCCTTCTCTCACTCTTTTTTTTTAAATTTACCCCGGACTCAAATATATGAAGCACCTCCCATATCCGTCCGATGACATCACTTCCTCTGAAATAACAAAAAAAATTAGAAAAACCTGACTTGGATTAATCAGATACTTACGGGTTTGCTGGGCTGATTGGAGTGATCATTCGACGCAGATTTTGGCTGGAATCATGAAGGCTCAGCTGGCAGCGCTGTCCGTTTTCTTCCTTTACTTCATTTGCCAGTTGTTCCTGGCAGCTTCTTCTGGAGAAGCGTTGGGAAAGGGTTAGGCATCTGCTTTTCTCCCTCTTTTCCTATTAGAAGCGGCTGTTCCTTGCGAAAAATGTATAAATAAATGCCGGCGGTTCCGTATCGAGGGTCGGATAGTATTATTTGTAAAGATGTTTGTTTGTGAATGTATTTTTTTACCGTCTTAAGTTTCCCTGCTATCTGTCGGAGCGATAATGATCAGCTTCGGGAGAGAGCAGTCTCCCCTAGGCCAAGAGCTGGTTCTGAATAATGAAGGAAATGCCTAAGAGACACGGGATGGGGTTTGCAAAAGTACGTATAGACCTTGCACACGCACAAAATTAATACAAACCCCTCTTCCCCTCCCCCATGATCAGTTTCATTCATAACTATTGCATAAGGTAAGTTAAAATTGAATTTCCTTACCATCTAATTTTAAAGGCAACTATGTTTTTCTGTTAGTAAAGGTAATTAAGCGTACATTTCGGTTCACCTTTGAAAACTTACACCGCCTAGAGTGGTCCATCGGTCCAGATAGTAATTTTAAAGGCAACTGTGTTTTTCTGTTAGTAAAGGTAATTAAGTGTACATTTCGGTTCACCTTTGAAAACTTATACCGCCTAGATTGGTCCATCAGTCCAGATAGGTGGGGTATAAATCAAATAAATAAATAAATAAATAAATAAATACTGTATTTGGAGGGCTCGCTTACTCCAAAGTTTTGTAAGGCAACCATCTTATCTTATTCTTCCCCCTTTTTATGCAAATGATAACCTTATGCCCACTTGGATGCTACATTGGACTGAACGAGATTTTCTTCTGATAAGAAACATGGGCTTGCGTAGGCAGCCTTGGGATGAATTTTCAGAAGCCCTGTACAAGCAAGCAGTTGAGACCTCTGGGGAGAGAAATGTGTCTGTCTTATGACAGTCCTCTGGTAGAGAGTTAAGAGAGAGAAAAAAGGATTTACTATCAAGTGAATTCGGTCCTGAAATGGAAAAGTCCCTTATGTTGTAGAACTGGGGATGCCTGGATTTCATAGACACAGTTTACACCTGTTGCTACATTATAATGGCTTAGACTTTGTCATTTGGAGTTCTCCTTTATTTCACAATAAGCTATCTTGCTAGCAGCCTTTCTCAGCCTTTTAACTACAATCCCCAGTAAGCAACTGGCTAGGAGATTCTGGGATTTGTAGTCCACCACATCTAGAGGGCTCCAAGTTGGGAAATGCTGCTTTATGGAAATGGAATCTATGCCCTATTTTTAAAAAAATATATGTCATTTTTATATGACAACTGTAATCAGGCCCTCTTTCAATATCTTGAGTATACTAGGGTAATTTTGTTCTTTGTGTAGTGCAACTTGTTTTCCAGTTACCTAGCAAAGAATAGATGTTTATAGGTTGAAAGTGGGAAGTAAGAACTTAACTACTCATTACTGTATGTGTGTTTAATAAGTTTTCTATTTTTTTCCTATAATATTAATGTGCAAGTGTTCACAAACCAAAATTGACTGTGATGGTAATAAACAGTTTAATGAGTTGAATCCTGGTTGGCTGTTTAGGAACAAAATTCTGTTTATGAAAGACCCTGGAATCAGTAGAAAGCACCAGTGTCATGCTGCTCTGAAGAGTTTTGAGTGAGTCCTCTCATGCTGTGTTCTGGAGGCATCCTTCTCAGCCCTTCTGAAGAGCTTCTGAGAGGCACAAGAGCCTACAAATGTATCTCACCCTCTTCCACCTTGAGCAGAACTCTACTAGGCACCATTTTGGATAACTACTTTTTTTCTTTTTTTGTACAAATGTACACTGGCTAAGTCTGCTTAAAAAGCGACAATAGATTAATTACTGTATGTTCATTTTTGCGAATACATCCTCTTAAAACCAGTGGCAATTATTTGATCTGTACTGAATCAGACCAAAATTCTATCTAGTCCTGCATTTTTTTTTCACAGAGTGGGAAGTGAGTTGTCAGTGGCAAGTCCATAAGTAGGACATGAGTGTACTAGTACTGTTTTGCTCATGTTCCCTAGAAACAGTAAGTCATTCTGGAGGTAATTATGACAATGGATGGTCATTTATAGCCTCATCCTCAACACATTTTTTCCAATTTCTTCTAAAAGCATTCAAGATGGCAGCCATCACAGCATCTTGGGATAATCAATTCTGCAGTCCAGGTGGTTACAGTTTAAGTGATCCAGGGAAGAATACTTCCCTATGAGAAAAACGTACATCAGGTCTAGTTTAGCTTGGGGGGAAAGACCAAGACTATGTGCAGTGTGCACTGCAGTGTGAAAAAGTATTTTGTAATTTCCCATCAGATGATTCCAGTTCTAGTTTTAATAGGCGAGGGAAGAAAGTGTTTCCTTTGTATTTTATTCATAACATATAGAATACTGTATAAATCTTTCTCTGTACTGGTCTTTTCCCCCTGAAGCTAAACATTATTCCAATGTAACGGGGAAGTCTTCCAAGTCCCTTGATTATTCTGGTTGCCCTTTTGCAATTTACTATAGCCTTTGTCAAGAGTGATGACCAGAGATGTATCCAGGATTCCAGACAGTTCTGTGTAAGAAAGCAGTAGGATAATAGCAGATTTATTTTTAAATCCACTTTTCTGCTTATGCCCAATGTGGAGATTTCCTTCTTTTTTCTTTCTTTCTTTCTTTTTTCTTTTTCCTTTTTTTTGGCAGCTGCTGCAAGTTGGATTGATATCTTTACTGAGCTGTTTCTGAGTAGATGTGTAGAGGATTGTTTTTGGTAAAGGTTTTATGCATATGACAAGGCGTTGTGCACATGTTTTCATCCGCTGAAAACCTGACAACAATGTATCTGCAGAGAACATTCAGATAGGCAGAAGGTTTTCAGTGACACAGTTCCAAAGAGATTGATGTAGCTGCAAGTTGGATTGATATCTTTACTGAGCTGTTTCTGAGTAGATGTGTAGAGGATTGTTTTTGGTAAAGGTTTTATGCATATGACAAGGCGTTGTGCACATGTTTTCATCCGCTGAAAACCTGACAACAATGTATCTGCAGAGAACATTCAGATAGGCAGAAGGTTTTCAGTGACACAGTTCCAAAGAGATTGATAGACTGTAAATTCCTGCTCCAGAATAATTGCTGTGGGTGCCATGGAGACATGAGGATGTTCTGAGGAATATTATCTATGATTAATATTCTTAATTTCACTGTATGTGTTCAATTTTGGGGAATTATTTTGTCTGCTGTGATTAATGTTTCAACTGATGCATATATATCCACTCTTTCCTTCCAAGGTTTTGGAGATCATATTCACTGGAGGACACTAGAAGATGGGAAAAAAGAAGCAGCTGCCAGGTATATTGTACAATAGACTTGTAATGTTATGCATAACTATTCTAGCTATATGGTATGATAATGCTGTAATTTTCATCAGGCCTAATTTAGCGGTACTATTATGTTATTTATGTGTATTTGTCTGTGTTTATATATATGCAAATTATTATATACAGTTCTAATGAATATTATTAGTATTACCATTAGCAATCCCACTCAGACTTCAGTAATTAATATTATAAAAGGTTAATTTTAGTGCATTAAAGATATCACAATTTTCTTCCAAAATCCACTGAGACTAAATTATAGATTAATTAAAATTAATTGGAGATTAAGTTTACTTCATTATAGAATAAATTTAAATCAGCTTTGAGGACTGTGCATTTTACATTTGGTTCTTATGGAACCAGAAATAGCAAGATCCGTTTGAATAATAAAAGTTTGAAAAGGCTATTTAAATAACAAAGAAGAGATTGCTTGCTTCCCAGGGGAGAGAAACATGGGTTAGAGGATTGCAATTTGGAGATAATTAAAGGTTTCCTCTTCCAATCAGCACTTAAAAACCTTTCAATAAACAATTAAACCCCCCCACCATCACCTTTTACTAGCATAGTTATGAAATGTGGAGGCAGTGGCAGCTGCTACAGCTTTCCTATAACCCACTTGCACTTCTAGCTGGCACTTTTCTACTTCGTCTGGGCTCAGCAATTTATAGCAGCATTATGTTGTGGGTAAAACTGGTGATATAGGAAGAGGCAGGATAAATAAAGAGTGTATATATGAGCTGGTTTGGATATCATTGTGCTAAGAAGGAAGCAGAGCAGCCAGATAGTATGTGAAACTGCTTCATAGGTGCTTGTCCATACAAAGGCACTGGAGTGTAGCTTTTAAGATTATGACTAGCCCTTTTTTCTTGGATGTTTTCCACACCTCTCAAAAATGTCATAATGGGTTAGAATACTACTTGCGTGTAAATTCTGAATGATCCTGCAGGTTGCTCTTCTAGAAGTAGATTAAACAAATTAGACTTCATTTCATCTGAGGTAATGTTTTGGATTATAGGGGGAAAATGTACAGGTCTGATATTTTCAAGCTAATGCTTTCCCATTAAACCTGCTCAGTTTTATAGAATTCACAGCAAGGCTCAAATGGGAGATTATCTCCTCATCATGTTCACTTCTTCAGTGCAGAGAAGGTAGACGGGAATGTTTAGTTGATGTCCGGGTGATTTACAATTGATCGACTTCTAGTTAACAACAGCAGTAAAATGATCGGGTTACACCCAGGGAGTCGGCTGAAAGCAAAGGTGACTAGGAGTAGTCTTTAGCATCAAAAGAACTATGAGCTCAGCTTGCTTTAAATTAAAAACAAAGTCCTAGGCTCAGTATGTGTTCACCGATGCCTTTTCTTTAATTCTATATGCATGTCTCTTAGATCTGCACACACCTTCCAGTTTAAACTATGTCTAGCAAGCAAGTTTCCTTCCCTCTGATACAATGGAGCATGCTGACTTAGTGCAACTGTTGAAGTAATTCCAGTTTTGCTAAACAAAAAAAATGCAAGGAAGTGGTGCCCCGCATGACGACGATAAAGCATTCTGTTAAAATCGCTGTACAGCGAAATTGTCGTCATGCAAAAATAAAAACCCAATTGGAATGCATTGAAAACTAGCTAATGCATTCCAATGGGGGAAATACCTGCTTGTCCAGCAAAGGTCCTCCATAGGGCGACCATTTTGCGATCCCTGTCTTGCAGAAATAGGTCTGGAAAACAGCGGGGAGCCATTTTGTGAACTGCCGATCAGCTGTGTTAAATCGTCGTCCAGCGAAAAAACGGTTCCCGAAGCAGGGACCGAATCGTAAAGTAAAAAAACCCCATAAGAAACATCATTTTGCAATCGTTATAGTGATTGCAAAAAAGGCATTGTCAAGCAATTTCGTCATTTAACGGGGTAAGCATCTAGCAGGGCACCACTGTATGTGCTACTGTTAAAGATAGTGATTCATTTAGATCTGCTTCTCAGGCTCCACCTGTGGATGAGTTTTGTAATGGTGTTTTGCTTTGAAGAATTTCATTGGAATAATGCAGTATTGATAATGGCAGAAGGAAGAGGGCTGGCATATTACAGATGAAACTTATGTGGCTAGGTACTTTTTGGGAGAATAATATTCAGATCTCATAATTTAGTTGTTCCTTTGCTATCTTCATAGTGGATGGTAGGAGGAAAAACGCTGAGTAATCAAAGAGTGTCTCCTATCAAAATGTACAAGTGATTTCTTATGAGTTTGGTAACGTATATATGAGGCCAAAAGAATGCCTGTATTGTTATGGATTTTATGTAATAGAAAATGATTATGTAAATGTTGACTTATACTAGTAGAACCAGTCAGCGTTAGTTGACTACATAAGATTTATGGCACAGTTTTGTTTTGTTTTATTTTTTAATATGAAATGGCATGGTGTGTGAGAGATGACTTTGTGTAAGGAGACCCACCTCATTATAAATTGTTCTAAAATTACTGCTGAAAATGCTGGCTACAGAATCTGCTGATGGGATGGAGAGCGAGCGAGCAATATTCTGACTTCTTAATTTTCAGCACAATAGGTGGATTGCTACAGTGACAGGATCTTATTTCAGCTCAACGTGGGTGTTAACTATCTAAACTTAATCTCTGACTAATTTTGACCCCACTGACTTGGACCCCAAAATATGCTTCCACAATCTGAAACCCTGTTTTTTAAAAGTATTCATTTTATACTACTGTTTGTTCATCCTTGCTACAGAAACCTGTATGGCTGCCTTGTTCTACCTTGCTCCAGTGGGTCTGGTCTCCAGACTAGATTTTGTGAGTGAGATAGTAAATAAGGAAACAGATTGTTGGACCCAAGTTCTTAACATGAAAATAAGCCTCAGACATGTGGGACTTTGTTTTTGCCTTGGGAGCAAGTATTCTATAGTGTACAAATGAGTAAGACATATTAGTTGAAACATGGAGCTAAGCGGAAGGTCTTTCTTTCTATAAAATACACCATATATAGTAGTTTTGCTTTACAAGGCAATCCAATGCAAGTTTACTTCAGAGTAGTTCTTCGCTGTGTTTTCTAGGGATTGCTCCCTAGTAAGTGTGCTTCAGACTGCAGCCTAATATGCCCTATTAGGGCACATTAATATTGTGTTTCAATCTCTTTCTTTTTTTTAGTGGGTTGCCTCTCATGATAATCATTCACAAATCCTGGTGTGGTGCTTGTAAAGGTAAGATAAATCTTCTTTAACAGCATTTCCACATCTTTAACTGGTTATGTAAAATGAGTAAAAGAAAACACTATTGCAATTATTTCAGAGAATGTGTGTGTTGCTTTCAAATGTTAACTCTTAAGGCTACACTTACTGTGGAAACAAAATAAGGCTGTGGGTAGTAAATGAGTGTATATGTGAACTGTTGCATACAATAATAACAATGATGATTGTGTGTAGTCATGTTGGTAATACCCACAGGGTTTTCTAGGTATAAAGTACTCTGAAGTGGTTTACTAGTCCCTTCTTCTGGTGACAGTTTGTGCAGCATGTGCAAGGCTGTACAGATAGGAGGACATATATCATCAGTCACAAATCTTCTGTGTGATTTTGGTTGGCCTTTCTCCAGGGAGGCACAGTGGGGATTCAAATTCCCAGCTCCTGGCTCTGTAGATAGTCACTTCAACCTGGCTCATTGCATATCATAATATTGAATAATATTACACTAATATTGCTCTAATAGAATAATATTACTCTAAGCATGAGTATAATTGCCCAATGAATTGAAATCATATATTTCTAGATTAGAAGTAATCATTTGTTTTATTAAATCACATAAAAACAAAGAAGACGAAGTATTGAGCATGTATTGGTCAGCTTTGCTTGTGTGTGTGTCCACGTTTTGTTTATTTTGGATGTAATATAGATTTAAGGAACTAGATTTGGTGGACAGAGTGCCTGAAGAACTTTGGATAGAGGCTTGTAACATTATACAGGAGGCAGCAACAAAAACCATCCCAAAGAAAAGGAAATGCAAGAAAGCAAAGTGGCTGTCCAATGAGGCCTTACAAATAGGAGAGAAGGGAAGGGAAACAAAATGCAAGGGAGATAGGGAAAGTTAAAGAAAATGGAATGCAGACTTCCAAAGAATAGCAAGGAGAGACAAGAGGGCCTTCTTAAATGAACAGTGCAAAGAAATAGAGGGGGGAAAATAGAAAGGGAAAAACCAGAGATCTGTTCAAGAAAATTGGAGATATTAAGGGAACATTTAGTACAAAGATGGACATGATAAAGGACAAAAATGGTAGGGACCTAACAGAAGTAGAAGACATCAAGGAGAGGTGGCAAGAATACACATTGGAATTAAACCAGAAAGATCTGGATCTCCCAGACAACCCAGGTAGTGTGGTTGCTGACCTTGAGCTAGACATCTTGGAGAGTGAAGTCAAGTGGGCCTTAGAAAGCATAGCTAACAACAAGGCCAGTGGAGGTGATGGTATACTAGTCGAATTATTTAAAATCTTAAAAGATGACACTGTTAAGGTGCTACACTCAATATGCCAGCAGGTTTGGAAAACTCAGCAATGGCCAGAGGATTGGAAAAGATCAGTCTACCTCCCAATCCCAAAGAAGGGCTCCAACTACCGTACAATTGCACTCATTTCACACGCTAGCCAGGTGATGCTCAAAATCCTACAAGGCGGGCTTCAGCATTATGTGGACTGAGAACTCCCAGAAGTACAAGCTGGATTTCGAAGGGGCAGAGGAACTAGAGACCAAACTGCTATCATGTGCTGGATTATGGAGAAAGCCAGAGAGTTCCAGAAAAACATCTACTTCTGCTTCGTTGACTATTCAAAAGCCTTTGACTGTGAGGACCACAACAAACTATAGCAAGTTCTTAAAGAAATGGGAGTGTCTGACCATCTTATCTACCACCTGAGAAATCTAAAATATGGAGGCAGTGACAGATTTTACTGTCTTGGGCTCCATGATCAATGCAGATGGTGACACCAGCCATGAAATTAAAAGACACCAGCTTCTTTGGAGGAAAGCGATGACAAACCTAGACAGCATCTTAAAAAGCAGAGACGTCACCTTGCTGACAAAGGTCCGCATAGTCAAAGCTATGGTTTTTCCAGTAGTGATACATGGAAGTGAGAGCTGGACCATAAAGAAGGCGGACAGCCAAAGAATTGATGCTTTTAAATTGTGGTGCTGGAAGAGACTCTTGAGAGTCCCTTGGACTGCAAAGAGAACAAACCTATCCATTCTGAAGGAAATCAACCCTGAGTGCTCACTGGAAGGACAGATCCTGAAGCTGAGGCTCCAATACTTTGGCCATCTCATGAGAAGAGAAGACTCCCTGGAAAAGACCCTGATGTTGGGAAAGTGTGAAGGCAAGAGGAGAAGGGGAGACAGGATGGTTGGATAATGTCATTGAAGCTACCAACATGAATTTGACCAAGCTCCGGGAGGCAGTGGAAGACAGGAGGGCCTGGCGTGCTCTGGTCCATGGGGTCACGAGGAGTCGGACACAACTTAATGACTAAACAACACAACATATTTTACTTACATTTGTAAAGTTAAGTCCCAAGGAAAGGTAAAGGAAGAGCTAAGTTTTGACTAAAGGGTGTCCAGCGGGACTAACGTACAATGTAGCCCTATCCATGTCTACTCAGAACTAAACCATGTTGAGTTTAGTGTGACTTACTCTTGGATAACAAGTATATGATCATATTTTACTTACATTTGTAAAGTTAAGTCCCAAGGAAAGGTAAAGGAAGAGCTAAGTTTTGACTAAAGGGTGTCCAGCAGGACTAACGTACAATGTAGCCCTATCCATGTCTACTCAGAACTAAACCATGTTGAGTTTAGTGTGACTTACTCTTGGATAACAAGTATATGATCACAGCCTTAGCCCCTTTTGGTCCTTTGTATTTACAAACAATGTGATGCTTTAGAAACAAAGTACAGTGGTGCCTCGCATTACGATGTTAATTCGTTCCAGCGAAATCGCTGTAGAACGAAAACATCGTAAAGCGATTTTTAAAAGCCCATAGAAATGCATTAAACCCTGATTAATGTGTTCCTATGGGCTTGAAACTCACCGTCCAGTGAAGATCCTCCATACCGCGGCCATTTTTGCTGCCCATGCCGCGAGAAATCCGTCCCAGAAAACAGCGGGAGGCCATTTTTTTTACCCAACAGCCATTTTGAAACTGCCGATCAGCTGTGCGAAAATCTTCGTTTTGCGATAATCGGTTAGCGAAGCAGGTAACCGATCATCACAAAGTGAAAAAACCCCATAGGAAACATCATGTTGCGATCGCTTTCACGATCGCAAAAACTTCTTCGTTATGCGATTTCTTCGTTAAATGAAGCGCTCGTCTTGCGAGGCTCCACTGTATATCAAATTAACAATTATGTCCCGTCTAATTTGGACACATTTAAAGCGTATGTAGGATTGTAGACATAGTTTCCACTGGAGTCCTGGGAACTTCCACATTGCTTAAGTGGGCTCTAACTTTGACCAGCTTAGTCCAGATCCAATCCTATGATCAAGTATGTATGTACGTGCTTGTACTTCCTTACTCTTCTGACTTTTTTCCTTTTTATATTTCCCTTAGCTTTAAAACCAAAGTTTGCTGAATCAAAGGAAATATCAGAGCTTGCCCATAATTTTGTGATGGTGAACCTTGAGGTGAGTTTCAGATAGCTTCTGTGATACAGAAATTGAATATTTGTTTCCGAAATCTTCCTTTCAGTGCTTTTTCTAGGATAATTTATATAGATAACAAAAAATAGCTGCCAAATAATATTTATCTTTCAGGATAAAAAGAAAACTCTTCATTAATTTGTTCATTATTTCTTGCTGAATGCTCTTAAAATTTTGTATGAACAATTGTCCTAAAACTATATTACTATAACTATATTATGTCCTAAAACTATAATTTCACAAATACTATTAAAAATATAAGCCATTGCTACGGTTTGATACTCTTTTCAAGGAGTTTCACTTGTTGTAACTAGAATTATCTAAAAGGTATTTCAGGAACATAGGTAGACTGTTATACTGCTGGTTCGTCTAACTTTGTCCAGTCTGCTCTGACTAGCAGCAGGCCTCCAGGATTTCAGAGAAGAGTTTTTCTCAGCTATACCTGGAAATATGGATACCCAGTGTGGTGTAATGGATAGAGTGATGGTCTAGGACTCAGCCGACCTGGGTTTAAATTGCTGCTCATCCATAGAGCCTCATTGGGATGTGTGGAATTTAACCACACCTTAAACATCTCAGTTACCTATAAGCATTGCTGTAAGTTGATTCCGACTGACGGCACATAACAACAACATACCTGGAGATACTAGAGATTGAACCTAAGGGCCTCTTACATGCTGTACTACTGACCTATTGTGAATTATTAAGAGAGATGCATATGGAAGTCATATTAATATGTTCCTTTACCTTATCTCTTACTTGCAGGATGAAGAGGAACCCAAGGATGAAGCATTTAGCCCTGATGGTGGTTACATTCCCAGAATTCTTTTTATGGGTGGGTGAAAGGGAAAAAAAGGCCTTTTGGAGGGATACACTGATTCAAATGCAACACCTTAAAAGTACAATGAGATTTTCTTTTACTCTCTTCCTCTCTCCTCACAGCCCTCTTTGTTGCTCAAAAACCTGGTCTGGAGAGGTTTCCAGCTCTCTGGAGCAGATTTTGAGGGTGCAAGGTCACAATTTCCCTATATCCATAAATGGAAGACAATCCATTAATGGAATTGGATCCAGCACAAGATTCCCATTAAATAGCTATTTTAATTGTTCCCTTTTTTATAGATCCCAGTGGAAAGGTGCATCCAGAGATCATAAATGAGAGAGGAAACCCCAGCTACAAGTATTTCTATACTAATGCTGAACAAGGTATGTGCAAACTGCACAGTAAGTTGGTGTCTTAGATTCAGTCCACTTGTGGGGTGTTTTTCAGCCTGATATGAACCATGTCAGAGATATCCACTAAGTTGAATAGGCTGGGAAAGCATTTGCAAAAATATCATACTATTCTTTTCTGTTTATCTCTGGCAACATCTGACACAAGGCTGCTGCAAGTGCACTTGTGTTTTATAACTCTCTAATCTTGTATGAAAAAAAATTCTGCATTAGGTGGACTAAACTGTATTTATAGGTTGTGTCTTCTCAGTTTCTAGTGTTTCTAACAATACTGAGTTTATTCTCAAAGGCTTTCATGGACAGGATCTGATGGTTGTTGTGGGTTTTTTGGGCTCTTTGGCCGTGTTCTGAAGGTTGTTCTTCCTGACGTTTCGCCAGTCTCTGTGGCCGGCATCTTCAGAGGACTGGAGTAGGAACTCTAACAAGCTCTGAATCGATAACAGAAAAGCAAATAACCCCTTACAACCATGTCCTACGTACTGGCTGTCCCACTAAATTGTCCCCCCCCCCCAAATTCCTGATAGGAATAAGCACTTCTGGTTCTCCAGATGTTTCTAGGCTGCAATTCCCATGATCTCTTGCCATGGTCTTGCTGGCTAGAGCTGATGGGAATTGTAATCCAAACACATTGGGAAGGCACAGTTGTCCACTCCTGATCTAGGTGGGCTTTTCCCTCTCACCCAATACCAGAACCAGGAGACATCCGCTCAGATTGAGTGTTGGGAGAGTGAGAACAGACAAAAGAAAATATTTCTTCGCAGTCTGTGAAACTCCTTGCCACATGATGTGGTGATGGCATCTGGCTTAGATGCCTTTAAAAAGGGATTGGACAGATTTCGGGAGGCAGAATCCATTTGAGGTTACAAGCCATGATGGGAATGTATAATCTCCAGGCTTCAAAGGAAGGTAGTTCAAAATGCCAGATGCAGGGGAGGGGTATCAGAAGACAGGTATCTAGTTGTCTTGTGTGCTCCCAGAGGCATCTGGTGGGGCCACTGTGAGATACAGGAAGATGGACTAGATGGACCCTTGGCCTGATCCAGCAGGGATGTTCTTATGTGGTAGCTCTTTAGAGCTACTTACTGATTTAGAAAACTGTGAAGCTATCGGAGTGACTTGCTTCTGTCAGGAATCATAGACTAAAGCACATAGTATCATTAGGAAGAAGAAAGAGAAACCACCAGGTAAAGAACAAACAAACAGAACTCAGATTGTGCCAGAAACAGAGTTTGGATCAAAGAGTCTCAAGAAAAAGCCACACCCCTCAAACCCTCTTCTAATCTGCCATTCTCAGTTTTTTGTTTCCTACTCCTCTTATACTCTGGATCACAAATTCTCTCTTAGCAAATGAGAGCAGTTTTGGGAGGTCTATTCTCGTTTTGAATCTGTAGCTGGGGGGAAAGGGGAAGAAGTGAACATAGAGAAAAGTCCTCCCTGCCCTAGGAGGTAGCCATGTTAGTCTGTTATACCAAAGACAACAAAGAGTTCTATGGCAACTTTAACACTTGACAAAAGCTTTCACGGACTGCAGCCCACTTCTTCAGATGCAAAAGATATAGCTTCAGTAGGCAGACATTTATACAGCAATGGATAAAATAAGAGTATGAGTTATAATGGAAGTGCAAATGCTCCTAGGAAAACAGGCATCATGAAAGGAAATAAACATTTTTTGTACAGAGGACCTTTATATTATTGTTTGTGTGTACATTTCTTTGAATAATTTACATAACCTGTTAATATTATTGCTTTGCACATTTATGTAAACAGAACAGAACCAAGTACTAATTATCTCTTGTACTTAATGTTGCAGTCATCCAGGGAATGAAGGAAGCCCAAGAGAAGTTAACAGGCGATGCTTTCAAGAAAAAACATCTTGGTGATGAATTATAATACATTGGAGAACAGTTTTATATAGGTTCTGAGTCAAAAATTAGATATGGATCTTCATCTTTCTTATTTTTTTTCAGATGAGGAATTGTAGCTGCACTGAAAAAATGTTTTTCCTATTGATAACTTGTTAAAACAAATACTGTCTCATTTTCACACAGTGAAAGAAAATATAGAATTATGTCTTCTTGTTTACATTGAAATACCTATTTATAAGAGAAGGAATGTTAATAATCTTCAACTAACTAGCACATACTTCAGCACTGACAAATTAGCATCCAGTGGAGTTTAATTCTTCATGAAATGCATTTTTCTATATGAGGAAAAGGCTGGTATGTGGTTTATAATGATGATGTTAGCCTTACAAAATACTCTCTTTTACTGTCATCATAAATATACTTACAACTAAATTGTCTAGTTTCTTGAAGAATTTCATAATATTAAAGATTGTAGTATAGAATATCCCTTTTATTGTTCAATATAAACTGTAGCAAGGATAGGTAACCAGGCCTTCTGATATTTTGGGCTATCACTCCCATTGTATTTTATGCTTAATGGACCCAAAGGGGATTTTAGTCCAAAATGTAAAGGGTATCGGGCTGCCTAAACTGAGCCGTATATGTGGGTCTCAACAAGCCAAATATGCTCAACTAGTTAATCTGATATGATAGACTTGATCTCCTATTTGCTTAACAACCAGCATGAGGAATATTGGATATCCAAACGTGTCTATTTGTGTATGTGGGTCCTCTCTGGTTCATTTAGACCAGTGGTTCCCAACCTTGGGTCCCCAAATGATCTTGGGCGAAAACTCCCTGAAGAACTCCTGGAAGGCGTCACCACTAGCTGTGCTAGCCAGGATTTCTGGGAGTTTTCATCCAAGAACATCTGGGACCCAAAGTTGGGGACCACTGATTTAGACAAATGTTTTTCCATTTGTGTACATGTATTTAGTTATTTTACTAATGAAATCAAAGAAACATATTGAAGCGTTTTGTGTTCAACATTTTCTCACTTGCTGAATGTTCTTGGTAAATGCCTTGCTCCATCATATTGTACTGTATTTTTATACTGAGGTAAACAATAAAATTTGATTTTTAATTTTTCATTTCAATTTGAGACAAGAAGAACATTTTCCCTCTTCTCCTTTTAAGGACTAGAGTTGTCAACATCCAAGTGCTTAATTTTTTCTTCTTCTCAAAATGTTTATACACATTGGTATTTTTAGCTTTAAAAATACATTACCTTCCGTGGCTATGTCAATAATGCTTTTTTCTCAGGATTTAATCATCTCTTCAACAAAATTTATTGAGAATTGTTCTGACAATGTACCTGTTGACCTGAAAATAAATTGACTCCTACTGGTTCTAAATAACTAATAGCATTCACATTGTTCGCTAAGTAGCAATTGTGTAATCGGTCCTATTCAAAAGCAACAAACTTCATATATTTAAAGGGAGAAAAGGTACTGTCAACTTGCCACGGTACTTGCAGACACATGGTTCCTAATACAATCAATCAAAGGTATTGTATAGCTATTCCATCTTTCCCTTCTTTTACTAGGTAAGAAAAAAGGTAGTGAGGAGAAACATAGAAGGATGATTAACAGGAGGTAATGACATCAAACCACCTGCTAACTCCATGATTGAGACTCAGCAGTTCTGCAACAAAAGCCGTGTTTGGAACCACCAAAACTAGAATTCAGCCGTAACATTCTGCAGTAGTTGATTTGATTGTCTGCCTCCCTTTCAGTCTAGCCCAACTGGGATCTGTAGCTTTCACAGATCTATAACATTTACATTTAAGCTGCTGTAGTTATTGCTTTATGCAGGTGGAAGGGATTGCCACTCTCAAATTGGCCTTCTCAGCCATACTAGATGCGGTTCCAAGACCTCTATTCCAGAGCACGTTATTATAGTCTCTTGAGACTGAAGGATGCCTACTATGCAGGTTATACTCTAAACAGTGCTTGAAAAGAAACAAATCGACTTTCTCTATTATCTGTGAATACACAAATAATATTTTCCACTTATGGCACTTATCTACATTTGAATCTGGTGTATTTAATAACAGTTTTCATGTGTGCTTTGTATCATTTAATTTCTTTTCCCCCTCTCAAATCATCTTTGGCTCCTTAAATTGGTTAAATATCTACTACACTAGATTATATTTTTGTAAATATGTCATGACAGTTCCAGAGAAGGGACTTACTCACTCCTACTAATTGTAACTATGGTTCAAGACTATTTTAAACAGGGTTTGCACTAATTGCACAAAAGAGTATGGCAGTGCAATTCTGCCTGGATTTATTTGCTGGCACTGTTTCCAGAAGCAAGCAGCTGTACATAAATTCTCTATATTTTCCAGTTTTCTAGTTAGTGATTGGAAACAGTGTTACAGCAGTCGGGGGAATCACTGTGGTTATGGTATTTAAAAGCTACCAGTGTAACTGGACAGTGCACACATACAGTATATATGAATTTCACTCAGTACAACAATGACCAATTTATGTGAATGGGACTTGGGAATGTTTTAGTGTGCATAGCAAGCAGATTTGTGCATTTATTGTGTATCTTTTGGGGAATACTGACCAAAAGGGTTCCAGTGGTTTTCTAATGTAGCACAATGGTTCCCATATTTGGGCACCAAATTATCTTAGACAGTTTGTGTGCTCTGACACCAAAAAAAAGGTGTACACCTGATCACACTTAAAGCAGTTCCCATCCATTTGTTGGGGAAATCAATCCAGTCTCACCCTCAACAAGTAACAGCTCTATTGCTGGACCAAAACATGGATTTGGGTGAGGTTGGAACACTATTCCCTGTATGTCATGTGATCCCCAAGAAAGAGCTATACCAGATTGTACCACAAGCGTTTCAAAATGTGGGCTGTGTGCCCATATGTTCACACCCAGTCTCTTGCCACAGTTGATACCATAACCAGAAGACTATTGTATTTCAAGCTCAGTACTATAGACAAAACTCTGACAATTCGGTGTGCTGACTAAGCTTTCTGGGAGTTTGGATCCTAAGAACATCTGGGAATTCAAGTTCAGAAACTGCTGCTTTAGTGGAAAGACAGGATAAAAATAAAATTCTTTTTAAAAAGGTGACTTACAATAAGTATGTATCAAATGATTTATAGCATAATAACAGTAAAAGAAGGAGGTTGTCCCCAAGTAATAGAATAGCCTTTTAAGATCTGTCTACAGACCATAAGAAAGGAAATAACCATATTATTAGGGAAGCAAATCTCAGAATTTTAATCAGTCACTGAAAAGATTCTATTCCTAGTATTAGGATCTAAGTAACATTGGTGGCAGGTCTAAGATCAGGACCTGTGAAGCTGATGCTGGAGCTCATGTGGATGTAAGCAGCCTTTTAGTCTGGTCCCAAGCCATTCAGAATTTTAACAGTAGTACCAGCATCACCATTCTACCATAGAAGAAAAATATTTGTAAATATCCCTCTAGCAAGGGAGACAATCTTGACACTTCCATGAAAATATGTAGCTTGTATTTATTTGGCTGAAATCCTGTTACCTTACACCTATGGCTGATAATGTTGCAGGTGCGGTGTGTGTGTGATGTAATAAAAAAAATCCTATTTCTGTTTCACAGCTTTTTTGACTATGGTGTAATCCTTTTTTCATGTGGAAATAGCAGGAGCAATGAGATGAAAAGGTTTTAATTATGGAAAATCTCTCCCTGCTGATAATGTCATCCACTGGTTGTGATTTTCAGTAATTAAATAATTTTCTCCTTTTGTCTGACAGCTTCTATGGCTTCCACATGATGAAAGGGATTACATGGTTGCTCAAAAAGCTGTGGACAGAGGCAGGGAGCTTTTTATTACTGAAAATTGCCATCTGCCCAGGAGATCAAGTGTAATTTATACAACAGGATTTCAGCCTTTGCATAATATCTTTGTGCTGAAACCAATTTTCACCCTAACTAGAGCAAATCCATTGAAATGGATGGGCTTGTCAGTCAAATTGTAAATCCCACTGACTTCAGTGCCTTTAATTGGGACTAAAATTTCATTTGGTCCATTACTGACAAATCAAGTTACCTTAACTCTGCTAGCTAAGAATATTCCCCTAACCAGGTAGTTGAGAGACAGAGGCGTTGACACTAGCTAGTAAATGTGAATCCAAATCCCTTTCAGCCCAGGACTGTTGAAAATTTTTACTACTCCCATCTTGACCTAACTTTGTGTGTCTTAAAACTCTGCTCTGTTGCTGGGCAACAAGAGGTTTGGAGCTGGCATAATAAGGCTCCTTCCTCATTCCCCCTCTAACTCCAAAAGGACCTTTTTGATGGCATAAGGAGTTCTGTCTGTAACTCCCTGTGCTGGTGCATCTCTGAATCAGGATTATTATGCAAATATAAAGTTTTACCATTATTTCATAGATCTATGAAGAAGAACAGATTTAAGGAACTAGATTTGGTGGACAGAGTGCCTAAAGAACTATGGACGGGGGCTCGTAACATTATACAGGAAGCAGCAACAAAAAGCATCCCAAAGAAAAGGAAATGTAAGAAAGCAAAGTGGCTGTCCAACGAGGCCTTACAAATGGCCGAGAAGAGAAGGGAAACAAAATGCAAGGGAGATAGGGAAAGTTACAGAAAATGGAATGCAGACTTCCAAAGAATAGCAAGGAGAGATAAGAGGCCCTTCTTAAATGGACAGTGCAAAGAAATAGAGGAAAGAAATAGAGGAAAATAACAGGGGAAAAGCAGAGATCTGTTCAAGAAAATTGGAGATATCAAAGGAACACTTTGTGCAAAGATGGACATGATAAAGGACAAAAATGGTAGGGACCTAACGGAAGTAGATGACATCAAGGAGAGGTGGCAAGAATACACATTGGAATTAAACCAGAAAGATCTGGATGTCCTGGACAACCCAGGTAGTGTGGTTGGTGACCTTGAGCCAGACATCCTGGAGAGTGAAATCATGGGCCTTAGAAAGCATGGCTAACAAGGCCAGTAGAGGTGATGGCATACTAGTTGAACTATTTAAAATCTTAAAAGATGACGCTGTTAAGGTGCTACACAATATGCCAGCAGGTTTGGAAAACTCAGCAGTGGCCAGAGGATTGGAAAAGATCACTCTACCTCCCAATCCCAAAGAAGGGCAATTGCCAAAAAATGCTCCAACTACTGTACAATTACACTCATTTCACACGCTAGCAAGGTTATGCTCAAAATCCTACAAGGCAGGCTTCAGCATTATGTCAACTGAGAACTCC